GTTATGTTATGAAATAAGTTAATTTGCTGCCATTTTAGTAAATAAACCTTAATATCTGACTATTTAACCTCCATAGCCACCTGGCTGCAGACTATTTTAAAAATTGAAACAGTTCAGTTAACCCCTCTAAGTTTAGTTTTTATGTTATCACCTCAGAAAGATCTAGATTTGTAAGGTTGAAAAATAAACTATTTGTCATTAGATTTTGATATTCAACAAGATCTTGAGAAACATCCATGCATATAAGTTTAGTCAATTACTGTAATAGTGTCTTCATATGTCTCCCTAAAGAAATTCTGGCAGAGGTCTACTGAACGTCTAGGACCCTAAAAATGCTTGAATTGTAACACAGACCATAGCTCTAAATCTTTACCATTTGTTTATTGAGAATGACAATGCTATAAAATTTCATTTAATGGTTTCAGCAAAGATAAATTAAGAGATTAAATTGTACATTTAGGATTTAATTAGGAAGTTTACTTTGTAAAAGTGCAAAAAATTATATTGTTAGTTTGATTGTTGCGTTAGCATGGCTACAATTTGATGCTGTCATCTTTTGTGTTTGAGCTAGGTTTGTTCACAAATAGCCAATAATCAGAGATTGATTTTAAACTTGGCCAATTAATCTGGGGCCCCACTCAAGGCTTCACTTAATCTATATTTATACACTGCTAGTCGTACTGATGTTCTTAGTGAGAAGGGGTGGTTAAATCAGATTCTGAATAAGGTCACATATTGCCTTGGGCCAGCCCTGCATGAACAGCTGGAGTCGCTCAGCTGCACGTCTCTGCTGGGTGCGAGAGACCAACAGGGAGATTTTGTTAATCAGGCACTAGCAGGGACAGACCTTCAGGTTTTGAGGTGCGTCACAGTGACAGATGTGGTACAGTTTCTTTATATCAGGATATTTGATTCTGTTCCACAGCAGTGGGACTGACTCAATTTGCCTGTAGAGAAACCAAACACTGAATCCAGCACTGGGGCAGCCTGATATAATTTAAGTCAGAAGTTCCTCTACAGCCGAACCATTTCTTTTTTTGGGAGTGAGGAGGTTTTTTTTTTTTGCTATTACGAGGACAATTAAAAAAACAAATAAAAATGATCTTTTTAACTTCAACATCAGACCTACGTTTTTATTCACAAACAAGTATATGTTAGAAAAAAAATATATTGCCCATAATCTGATAGTTAGAGGGTGCAGTTTTACACCCTTCCTGTCTTAACAACATGGAGGCAGAGGCACTGAGAATCCGTTCAGTCATTATTAGACCAAAAGCAGCCAGACTAATTTATTATTGCTAAATTGCTTTTGTTAGCTAAATACTATTGTTGAGGCCAGTTTGTGCCCCTCTATAATTCTAAAATAAAAAAAACAACTCAAAAAAGGGCACTTGGGACATCAAGGATAATAGGGGCAGAGGCTCAAGCCCCCTCAGCTCCCCTGGCCCCTGCATGTGCCTGCTAAACGGTACTCACTACCTTGTAAAAGTTGGACATAGTTTATCATATTCAGCTTGTCCAGCAGACTCACATCAATGTTGACAGGCTCAATGGTGTTAATATGGACATTGGGGGCAGAGGACGAACGATCTCGCTGGCCAAACTGGTTGCGGTGGTCTTCCTCACTGGTCCGAAAACTATTTGGAATGGGGATGGACTTGGATGGGGACACTGTAGTGTGGTATATAGAGCTGAAGAAATGATGAGTAGGAAACAGGTCAGCAGACAGGCATTAGGACAACATCTGAAATTCTGACATTGCTCAAAATTAAAGGGCGCTCTCATCAGGCAGGATATGTTCACTGAAACAGCACATGTGGATTAAATACAGGTCGTTGCTGCCTTTCTATACCCAACAAAGCTGTTTGGAGGAAATTCCACAATTATATTTAGCAGATTGCAATAGAATATCATGACACCAACATTCAAATATTTACACTGTAAGTTACAGACTGTATGGGATCTAGAAGCAGCTGGTTGGAACAAACATTCAGTATCTCTGTTATGATTGGACTGATTTTGGGAGCACTTCTAAATATCAGTGTGAGCTGAAGAAGTGCATACCCGGTGGAGTCCGATGGGGGGAGAGATGGACAGAGCTCAGACACGGGTGTGGTTCCCTCTGAGGAGACCTCCTCCTGGCTGAATGGATGATGCTCGAAGAACTTTGATACAAGCAGTAAGCTGCACAACACAAAAATAAAGACAAAATCATTTCTAAAGTTGGTTTAGAAAATCTGAAGGTAAGTGAGCTAAAAAGCAGAGCCATAATGTTGTTCAGATTGACATTTAACATTTACTTTGGAGAACTAGCAGGAAACAGGGAGCATGTAGACCCACACGGTTTGTAAATATAAGACCACAGCACCACCATGTGGTGGTCAACATGATGGAAGTTTTACAATGTTAACTCAAACACTGGGGTTAATATTGTGTCATAAAACACAGATGTTTATGTGTAAAAAGATAACCATGAGAAAAATATATTTATTATTAAATCCACTTACAGCCATGGTAAAACGAAAGTACACCCTCTTTAGGTTTTGTGCATTAAGACATAAAATGAATATGGTTTTTACCATTTACAGATTACATGTACAGTGGCGTGAAAAAGTATTTGCCCCTTTCTCATTTCCTAAACGTCTACATGTTTATCACACTTCAGTGTTTCAGAACATCAAACTAATTCAAATATTAGTCAGACAACGACAACACAAATAAACACATATTGCAGTTTTAAATGAAGGTTTTGAAAAAAAATATTCAAAACCCAAACACCGGAGACTAGCAATATTAAAGTAATTTGTTTACGGTAAGATCATCGTCAGCTCTCAATGAGATATGTCGAGAAGGATGGAATAAAGGCAGCGGAATAGGGTTTTCCTAAAATGCAAATTTCTATAAAAAAAAAATAAAAAAAAAAGAATTAATGTGAAGAACAGATAAAATTATTTCTTCCTAGTTTGGTCACAATTAAATGGAAAATGGAGATGTAGCTGCATTTATCAAAGCAGATGATAAACTAAGTCTTCAAAAATTTAAAATGCGGGTGGAACAAGAGGCAGTGTGAGATACAGAGATGCTGTGCTA